TTGAGCCGGCGCACATTGTAACTGCCTGCTTTCCCGCACAAGCTAGTTGATCCCTGCCGCGTAGCTGATGGCCCTCTCCCTCGCTTGCCGCCCTCGCATGCGCACTCTTTGAACATCCTTCGCACGGGCTGATGCCAACTATGTAGCTGATCGCATCTGCTGCCGCTGCCCGCCGCTCGCATATACGATGGGTCCAGCGGTGTAGCTGATGACGTTGGACTCGTGTCCTTTTCCCCCCAGCTGCTGCCACTGTCCGCATTCTCGCCCTGCCAGCCGCTGCTTCCGCTGCCTGCCCTCTTGTCTTGGCAGTCCCTGCTGCCATCGCTTGCTGCCTGGGCCACCGATGCTGCCACTGCTTGCTTCCTCGCACGAGCTGACCCCAGCTTTGCTGCCTGCCTGCCTGCCTGCCTGCTCGCACGGGCAGGCCCTGCTGCCACCCCTTGCCGTCTCGCACTGACACTGCCTTTTATTTCCTGTTTTTTGCGCGGACGGTCGCTTGCCTACCTCTTCGCCCTGACGCACCCTGCCGCCACTGCCAGCCTTCTCGCTTCAGCTGACTCCAGTTTCGGAGCTGATGATTCCAGCCTTCGGGCACTGGCAGCTGCCACTGCCTGCTTGCTCGCATTGGCGACTGCTGCTGCTGCTGCTGCTGCTGCTGCTGCTGCTGCTGCCTCGACCTATCTTCTCGCACTGACAGGTCCTGCTGCCACCGCTCGCCTCCTCGCGCTGACGACCTTTGCTGCCACTGCCTGTTTTCTCTCCCACGAGCCGCTCCCAGCGTTGTAGCCGATGGTGCTCCCTACCTTGTCGCCCGAGCCCAGCTCAGCCTTGCAGCTGTTGACGCGTAGCTCGTTGTTCGCCGCTGTCGTTGCTGGGTCGCCGCTGGGGGGCCTCTATGTTTGACTCTCGTGCCGGGCCGTGCACCGTCGCATGCCCCGCTCCCAGATCTGTTTGACATTGGCGTCGAGCGTGCACGGGATGCGAACTCCTGTTCGGACTGGAGGGTGCCATCGGAGCTCGCGAGATGGTGATGCGAGGGTGAGGGGATTGGAGGGCACGAGAGAGCGGGAGGGACAGAGTTGGCCATCCAACTGCTGCGACCTCTGGCGGGCCTGGTCTCAGCGTAGCTCAGCGGGGCCGTCGCCGTCCTGACAGGCTCTTGATGACAGTACCATTCCCCACTTCGTCATCGAAGCTCGCCCCCCCCCCTGCCTGTGAGGAATGGCTGGGAATAGCCAGGAAGGGGCTGAGGGGCAGGGGGAGGGGGGGGGGAATTCGCTGGAATTCGATGGTAGTCATGTCAGTGTGGTATGGGGGAGGAGGGGAAAGGGGTACGGGGAGGGTGGAGGGGGAGGCGAGAGGAGGGGGGGAGAGAGAGGGGAGGGGGATGAGAAAGGAAACTGCCATGGGGGGGGAGAGAATGTGGTGGGCGAGGGGATAACGAGAGAGATGGATATATATATATATATATATATGTATATACATACATATATTCAGAGAGACAGAGAAAGAGAAAACGAGAGAGTAAGAGAGAAAGAGAGAGAGAGAGAGAGAGAAGGAGAGAGACACAGCTTTCAAACTACGGAGACATATAACCATTTAGATAGCGAAAGACAGAGAGAGCGATAGAGAGATAGAGAGAGAGAGAGAAAACACATAGCGAGAGGTACAACACACATGCATAGAGTGAGAGAGAGAGGTAGGAAGGAGGGTTCTATATTTACATATAGGCATACATATCGTGTCGACCCCACGCATCTCATGAGGCTGGCAAGAGGGTTCCAGTCCGCTCTGCGGTTCACCATCGGCCACGAGACATGCGTAATATTTTTTCTGCGTACGTGGCACACCATACATAATCGGACCAGGAGAGCGGTATATCACTACGATGGTGCATCGTTAAATGGGCAGCCCACTTGCGAGGAGCTTGTGATGCCCGCGATGGAGCAGTACGTCCTCTCGGCAGCTCAGCCCGAGGACCTGGCTGCATCGACGCCCGAGCTGGTTTTGCTTCCGCAGCCGCCCTTTCTGTCCGTGCGCCTTGCCGCTGACGCTTTTCCTTCGTCTTTCGTCCAATCAGTGCGACGGCTAACGAGCTTCTTAGAAGGAAGAACTGCGTAAACATAAACTGTCGGAGCTCCGTGTGGATTTCTTGGATCTGCGCCGGGCCTCCCTGGCGCGCCAGGGAGGGGGCCCAAGTGCCGATCCAGGAGATCCACGCGGACTTCCGACATGTTGTCAGTGCGTGCACGCGAAAGTTGAGAGAGAAACGACATGATGTGCCGCCTGCTTCCCTCTCCCTGCTGGTGCTGCTGCTGTCCATGTGACCCGCTGTCTTTGTAAAACCCTCTCGGGGTTCTAGCTCCACGGAGTGGAGGTGCAGTCCTTACTGATTGGGCCATCCAGTTTCCTACGACTCGTGGGGATTGGTGTTCGCTGCACGAAAAAAATCGGCTATGCGCAAGAGTGACCCTGGGTAAGAGTGACCTTTGGTGCGCGGCTTTTTGGGGGCCGCGGGGGGGGCCAAACCTGGGCTCGCAAGCGGCTGCCACTGCTTCGTTTCCAGCCATTTGTTTCCAGCCATTTGGGTCACTCCTGCGAAAGGTCACTCCTACGTCTAGTCGAAAAAAAGGTCACCCTGGATCCCGCAGGCTCTCTGCGGTCCGCGTGGCCCAGCTCTCTCCGAGCCCGTGGGCGGTCCTCGCCCTGCGCGATGCGTGCACCTCTCCCTCCCGTGCCTCTCCCCGGCCGCGCCAGCGGCGGCGCCGCCCCGCGTGCCGGAGGCGGTCTGCGCACGCCCGTGTGGCTGCCCGAGGCGGCCGCCCGCGAGCGCCCCGCCTCTCTCGAGGCGCGGCCGCGCCCGCTCCCGCCGGCCGTCTGCCCTGCAGTCGAGCCGGAGGCGCAGGAGCTCGACCCCGTCGGCCTCTGCCTCGGCGGCGCCGGGCGTGCGGGTCGCGCTCGTCCTGCAGGTGTGCCCCTGGCCGAGCCGCTGCTGCACGGTGTCCTCGCGGGCTGCGGGAGCCGCTGACGACGTACGCCCTGGCGCTGCTGCTCCGCGACGGGGGGCTGGAGTGGTGGGCGTGCCTGCTCCGGGGCCAGCGCATCGTCGTGCGCTACGGAGGCGATCCTGTCGATCACGAGCGGGTCGTCCTGTATCCGAGCCTGCCACCTGGCGCGTGGATAGGGCTGACTCCAGACGGTGACGAGTACGAGGAGGACTGCACAGGTGCGGAGCCCGAGACGGGTCCACAGGGCGGGGCCGCCATGCTGGTCGGAGGTGCCATTCCCTACGGCTGGCCTCGATCGATCTATCGAGTCAGAGTGAGGCTGGAGGACGACGAGCTGTGGGCGGCGATCGAGCGGGCCCAGTCCTTCTGTGGAGTCAAGCCATTCAGGCATCTCGCCGCCCCCGCCGCTGGATTTCGTGGGCTGGGACGACCTCCTTAGAGTTTTGCCATCCACAGGGGTCAGTTGAAACATCACCTCGTCCTTCGCGTCGTCATCCTCACTACCCCCTCAATCATCACTTCTCCTTTTCTTGATCGCATCGCGATGGCGAGTCGTTCTTTCCAGACCCTGCCCCTGCGCCTCCTTCTCCCACTATGCTTGTTGGCTATCAAGGACTACCCGCGGCATCGTCGGTATGAGCGGCAGCATGGCGTCCTCGTGATGTTCACGGTCGCGCCTGCGGGGGGGGGGACCAACGACCAGACTAGCCTGACGGGCCCAACCTGCTGCATCCTGGCTTGCCGCCCACCTTCCTTCATGTGTAGACGATCCCTGAAACACCGAGCCTCCGCTGCTCCTTCTTCCGGTCTTCGGTGCCTCAGTGTACAGTCTGGGCTCGGAGGCTGAGAGCGTGTGTCATTCAGGATTGCATTCCGAGTGCGTCGCACTGTCAAAGAGATATATGGTAGATTCGTGCGGCGTTGGCGCGCCGGCGGCGCTGGCCAAGGCGTTCAAGGTTGAATTCTGCGACGCGGAAGCACGGAAGGGCACGGTAACGCCACAGGACCCGAGGGAATTCAACCTTGAACGATCGAGGCCGAGATCGGTCCAAGGTTGAACGATCGACGCGGTGTCAAAATCTTTGGCGTGCGCCGGCGCCGCATGAACCTACCGTATTGGTTCTATGGGCTTACGCCACATCCGCCGACCCCTACATGAACTACTGCTCCTCCAGGACTGCATTCCACAAGGCTTGTCCGACTCATGACACGGCGCTCGACATGGTTCTTGTTGCTTCGTTGCTGCTATCGTGCCCCTTGGTGCTCCTTTGTGGCCCTTTGGTGGCACCTTGATTTTGAAGTGGTTGGTTACCCATAGGCTGTGCAGTGTGTTGACGTGCCCGCGCGGGGGGCCGCGCGCGTGAGGCCCGCGCGATGTGCTGTTCAAGAGGCCCACGCGCCATGCCGCCGCCGACCCCCAGAGGATGCGTGCGGCTTCCGCTGCTGCGAGTGCCATTTGCCCGCTCCCCGTCGTGCTGCCTGCGCGCGGCTGCTGCCGTTGCTCGAGAGGCCTACGTCGTGCCGCCGACCCACAGAGGGTACGTGCGGCCTCCGGTGCTGCGTGTGTTGTTGGCCCGCTTCCTGTCGTGCTGCCTGCGCGTGGCTGCTGCCGATTCCTCCTCCTCTTCCTCGGCGTCTGTCGCAGGGCTGTTTGGAGGCCCTCTTGGGGCAGCCGGAGTGGTAGGCTGTTTTTTCTTTTGGGGGGGGTGTTTTTGCGTTTCCGTTGTTGGCTGCTTTTGTGTACGCTCGCGCGCGCGTGTGTGTATGTGTGTTTGTTTGTTTTTGCTGTTGTTTCTCCAGAAGCCTGAAACGCCGAGAATGCAACACTTATTCAAGAACCTGTGTGGGATCGATGATGTTCGCCTCCTGAGGCCCATCCAGCGTGTTTGAGCCCGTGTTGAGCAACATTACAAGACCTCTTCGGCGTCTTGGAGGTTACTGACGGTGGATTTGGAGGCTGCGCGCGCCCTGGAGGCGCGTTGGCGAGCTCGTGGTGTGGAGGGGGACACTCTCCTTTGGCGAGGTCCTGGCTGGATCCTGAGGAAGTGGGAGGGGAGGAGAGGGACAACTGAATGTCTCACACGCCTTCTCACCCCCAGCGAGGGCGGGCCGGCGGATTGATATGGAGTCTTATCGAAGACGCCTATGGCGAAGCACTGCCGCCCCCTGCCTTTAGGGTACGCTTATGTGGCCACCCGTTTGGGCAACGTCTTGCCACGCTATCGGACCATGCGTTCCCCCAGCCGTTGTGCAAGCCCTTTGGGGTACACGCTGGGGAGTGTATGGACGATGAGGAGAGGAAGGACATATGATGATGAGGAGAATGATGAGGAGACCTCTTGGGAGCTTCCCGCGTCATTCTTGGGGCCTCCTCGGAGCTTTCTGGGGGCCTCTTGGGGGCCTTTGGGAGCTTCTCGGGGGCCTGTCGGAGATCATGTGAGCACAGCAGTCATGATAGTAGAAGGACGTTTTCTGCAGCTTTCTTGCCCTGCCCCTCCCCACCACCACCCACCCACCTTCGCGAACAGATTTTAGAGAGGTCGAGAGCTCTTTGTGTTAGAGGCTTTTGAGGCCGCGCGGCAGACTCAGCGCCGCTGCGCCCCGACGCACCTGGCCGCCCTTTGGTCTGCGTTTTTCGCAAGCTTCACACATCGGGGTGCTTTTGAAAACGAACGTTGGAGATGATGATGGTGATGCTGATGACGATGATGACGATGATGACGATGAGGTGTGCTGACGAGGAAGCTGAGTTCAGCGATGCGGAAGAGATTACGCGGGGCTCGGTTATATAACATGCTCGGAAGTTCGCGAACGTCCCCAATGTGTTGCATGCTGTATAGCCACGTGCTTGTATGTTACGCGCCTTCGAAGCAGTCTCGACATGCTTAGTTACATGCTTTGACGTGTTGTTTCTTCATGATGTGTTTCGTTCTTCACTCGCGCTGCTCCCTCGTCATGGGGGGGAGGGGCGGCGCCCTCCACCTCGGGGGCTTCGGGCGCGGCTTGCTCGCTGAGCTTCCCGCCGCCCTGCGCCCCCCTGAGTGCGGATCCCTTTCTCCTCGGGTCACTGCCTGCTTGCTTTTGTTTCCCTGTGGTTTTCTTTCTGCCTCCTCCACTACTTCAGCTCGTGTGGGACCTGTGTGCGCGCGTTGGGCGAAACCCCATTTGATTTACGCACTGACGAGCTTGGTTCCGCTCTCCTCGTCATCGTCGTCGTCGTCGTCGTCGTCGTCGTCGTCGTCCGCCTTCTCCTCCTCTTGTAAGCCTTTCGCGCCCGCCAGCTCTCGTGCTTATTCACGGAACTCGGAGAAGGGGGTCTTAAGTCGGTTTCGGGCATTCCGTGCTTGATCGGTCAGTGCCGGGAATACCACGCTAGTCGTTTTATCCGAGTGCGTCGTTTGTAGTTTCTTCCTGGTGCACCTGCTCCTGCACCGATCTCTTGACACTTGCATTTGCTTTGATTTGCGGGTCCAGGATTTGTGCTTTTGGCTTGGCAACCTGTGTGAGGTGTGCATGTGTTGCGTTGGAGGGGGCAGCTTGAAATGCTTTCACAGCCGATGAATTTTGAATGAATTCGGCATGTGCGCGTGGGGACGCAGGCCTGTGGCCCGCACGGTTTTCGTGTGCAGAGCGCGGTGGCCTTTGAATGTTTCTGGGTTGCGTCTGCACACCTGCACATGTGCATATACACGTTCAGGCACACTCGCCAAGCATATGTTCTTTGATGTTTTGAAGAGCTCTAGAGCAACATACTTTTAACTCTCATGCATTTGATATGGGGAGTGAGTGGTCGTGCGCAATACATGACCACACTAGTTTTCTAAACACATGTATATATATATATATATATTACCTCATATATATATATATATCATCATCACCATCGTCATCATCATCATCATATGCTCGTAGAACGACAGAGCCAGTTCGACAAACTTTGGACACGCTGGCCATTTTACGGGGTCTGATTCCAGTAGTTTTTTGTTTGTTTGTTTTTCCTTAGAACACTTGAGAGGTGTTGTACACTCGGTGCCGGGCGATCTGTGCGAGGCAATCGCACTCCGTGGGCGAGACGGCTACGGGTGGCGAGCGGTCGGAAGCCCAGAATCGCCAAGTATTTGTTTTTCGGAAGTGCGTCGGAGGTCCTAGTGTTCTGGGCACCAGACAGGCGCGAGGCCGCGCAGCTCTTCGTCGACGCGCGCAGCACGCCGCCCCGCGTGGCGGCAGTATTCTTTCTTGTCGGGCAGGTTTCGTGTCCAGAGTGGGGCCCGCCCGAGCGCCTCCTGCCCCATTTCAAGAAGAGGGACGATGCGCAAATTATGTCCCTCAAGCTGGGGCGTCGTCTCTGTGCTGATCATGGTTCTGGCGCTGTCTCGCCATGCTGCGGTGTTGCTTTTGCGTGGTCCCTTGCGGGCCCTCGTGGCATTGTTCGTCTCCCTCCTCTTCCTCCATCATTGTCCTTCCTCCTCCCGCCCCTCGCCCTGTCTCATTTCCATCTCCCTCCTTCCTTCCTCGTAGTCTCACCCTCCCTCCTCCCGCCCTCCTCCTCGTCCTCATCCGTCTTTCCCCCTCCTCCTGGTCAGGATCGGTGTACGGCGGGGGCGTTGGTTAAGGAATGTGCCTACGATGCGTCATATCCTGGAACTTTTCTTATCCGATGAGGGCGGCGGTGATATCCATGGCCAGTGTACGAGTGGAGTTCCACTGGCTTCCAGACCCTGGGTTCCCTATCCAATGGTTCCTTATCCCTCGCCCTCACCCTATATGGCCAGTTTACGCTTCCCAGTCATCCCCCCCTGCTGCTGCTGATCCGCCCTTCCCCTTCCCTTAGCGCCGCGATCTGCATGTGTCGTGGTCCACCCCCGAGCTCTCGACCACGCCGCGCAGCAGCGGCTGCTCGTCCCGGGCACTTTTGTTGCTCAAGGGCCCGGGGCCCAACAAGGGCTCGAGGAGCAGGAAAAAACACCCTCGTGTGTGTGTGTGTGTCAGTGTGTGTGTGTGTGTTTGTGTTTGCTTGTGTGTGTGTGTGCGTGTGTGCGTGTGCGTGTGTTTGTGTGTGTGTGTGTGTGTGCGTGTGCGTGTGTGCGTGTGTGTGTGTGTGTGTGTGTGTGTGTGTGTGTGTGCGTGTGCGTGTGCGTGTGCGTGTGCGTGTGCGTGTGCGTGTGCGTGTGCGTGTGCGTGTGCGTGTGCGTGTGCGTGTGCGTGTGCGTGTGCGTGTGTGTGTGTGTGTGTGTGTGTGGTGTGTGTGTGTGTGTGTGTGTGTGTGTGTGTGTGCGTGTGCGTGTGCGTGTGCGTGTGCGTGTGTGTGTGCGTGTGCGTGTGTGCGTGTGTGCGTGTGTGCGTGTGTGTGTGTGTGTGTGTGTGTGTGTGTGTGTGTGTGTGTCTGTGTGTCTGTGTGTTTGTGTTACACCCTTAACGACGTCGAGGGCCCGGCCGCCGCGCGCGCTTCGCTGTCTGCGACCCTTTCTCCGCCTCGCCGCTGCGCACGAGGCCGCGATCGCCAAAAAATGCGTGCTTTGTTTCGTATCCGTCCGCCCGAGGCTTGGGCTCCCCCTCCTCTTCCTCGTTCTCGTCCTCGTCGTCGTCGTCGTCGTCGTCCTCCTCCTCCTCTTATCCTCCTCCTCCTCCTGCTCCTCTGATCCTCCTCCTCCTCCTCCTCCTTTTCCTCCTCCTCCTCCTCCTCCTCCTCCTCCGCTCCCCGGAGCGGCTCCGCCCGGAGGTGGACGGGCGCTTCGGTTTTTTCAGCGTCGTCAATTTCTTCGTCATCGTGGTCGCGGCTGCCGCCCTGGTGCGCTCCGCCAAGATGCTCGTGGACCTGTGTGCGGCCTTCGGGGGTGGGGCATCCTCCTCCCATCATCATCCTTGTCTTCCTCCTCCCTCCTCTTGCCTTCCTTGTCCTCCTCCTCCTCCTCTTCCGCCTCCTCCTTCATGTCCTCCCCCCCCTCCGACAGTCCGTCCCTGTCCTCCACCTGCTCCGCCGCGAGGGAGGCGGGCGGGAGGGGAAGAGAGGAGGTGGTCAGAGGAGGCCGTGGGGAGGGTGATCGGATCGACTCCGCTGGCGGGCCCGGCAAGAACCACAGCTCCGCCTGGGGCCCCCGCAGGGGCCACAAGGCTGGAGAGCAGGACTCTCGAGAACAGTCTTGGCAGCATTCATGTGCCGCCCTGTCGTGCGGAGCATATCTAACCACCTCAGCCCTGGCCAGCCTCCTATTCGGTGGCTCGGAGATGGGGCCCAGAGGGATGGGGTCCGACGGGCGCGGGGCCTCAAACAGCGTGGATGCAATTGGGGATCGCTTGTTGTCCTTAGGTCCCATTACTTCAAGTCTCCACCTTTGAGCCGCCGGCCCATGATAGGGGGGGGAGGGAGAAGAGCAGGGGCGCGTGGCCAGACTCGTGGGCACGGATCCTCTTCAGGATGCCACAGGCTCCAGCAGGCTCCAGCAGGCTCCAGGAGGCCCCAGGAGGTAGCAGGAGGTATCAGGAGGCCACAGGAGGCCACAGGAGGCTCCAGGAGGCTCCAGGATGCCCCAGGATGCCCCAAGAGGGTCCAGAAGGCTCCAGGGGGCTCCAGGATGCTCCAGGATGCCACAGGGGGCCACATGAGGCCACATGAGGCCACAGGAAGCGCCAGGAGGCACCAGGAGGCCCCGCAAGGCACCAGGAGGCCCCAAAAGTCATCCAGGAGGCCTCAGAAGGCCACAGGACAAGTAATGTACGTATGCTCCTATAGATTGTGCCTCCCTGGGGGCACGAATCCTTGGTGTTTCACGTATGTTTCTATAGATTTTGCTTCCGCTGGGGCACGAGTCGTTGGTGTTTTACGTGTGTTCTTATAGGTTGCCCTTCTCCTGCGGCTCCAATCCCTCCGTAACCATTTTGGCTCAAGATGCTTTTGGCCCGCGGTCTCCAAGCGGAGACCGCTGGGCCGCGGACAGACCCACCGACGGCGCGACGCGCGCGGGCAGTCTCGGTTCTCTCGATTTTGGTGGCGCTTGCAGTTCCTTCGTCTCGGCCATGGCGAGTCACTGGCAGTGTTCATGTGGAGAGTTCCTTCCTGCAGCCCGTATGCGGAGTGGTAAGCCAGGATGCGGTGGAGTTCGGCATCGCGTCCTTCGCGGTGGAGCAGTTCCTTGGCAGGACCGTCAGCCTCCAGTTCGCGGCAAGTGGGCCAACGCACCGCCACGCCAGCAATGGGGGCAGAATGGTAAGACCTTCTCTGGCGGCAAGTATTCTAACGGATGGGACCCGAAGGCTGGCAAGCAGGGCTCGGGTAGCACCCTCTCGGCGGAGCAGGTTGAGGTCTGGGCCACGTTCGAACACAAGACCTGGGAGGCCACCAAGCTCACGCTTAGCCAGTCTAGCCGCAGCAAGGTTGAGGCAGCTCGTCGCGCTGCTGCTCTCGGCCTGGTGGGCAAGTCAGCCCCGCAGCGTGTGGACAACTTGGCTCGGCAGCTTGCAGATGCTAAAGAGCAGCTTCAGCGCGACCAAGAGACTGCTCTCAAGGCTTTGGGGCAGGTGCACGGCTCGCAGGCGGAGATCGCGAAGCTCGAGGCGGAGCTCGCGGAGGCCGAGCGCGAGACGGCAGCTCTCTTCGGCGGCGGCATCAACCCAGACACGATCAAGCAGAAGCTCGGCACCCTCAACACAAACGGAGTCTCGGGCGCAGACCTCCTCGCGCAGCTCTCGGCCATGGTCAGCGAGCTCGCCGACGACGTGCGCGGCGCCAGTTGCCCCCGCAGCGGCAGCGCCGCCGGAAGGCCCAGCGGGCGGCGCAGCGCCAGCAGCAGCCCCAGGAGGCGCCCAAGCGGGTGGCGGCGGCGAGCAGCAGCGTGCAGCACCGAACGTCGGAGCGGAGGTCCCCCCAGGCGAGGCTTCCGACGCGTTCATGGCTAATGATGATCCTGGCGGCGTCCTCCCTGGTTGCGGCGACGACGAGGAGCGCAAGCGCGTCGGGGGCGCCTTGGAGGTTCTGCGAGCCGTCAAGAAACCGCGCCAGGGGTAGCAGGGCAGCTTGGCGCTGGTGAGCGGCTCTCACCATCAATGCCACTGCTTATAGCAGGTTTGAGGGCCTTCTCGACTACGACTCGGTGATGCGCTGCGACCTGTTCGCGGTGCAGGAGACCCACCTCTCGGCAGAGCGCTGCGAGGAGGTGACGGACAAGCTGGCGCGGCAGGGGTGGCGCGCGATAGCTGCGCCAGCCGTCGGAGTCTCGATCGGCCATGCTGGCCACGGAGGGCTCCTACAGCTCGCGCCCAGGACGCCTCGGCACCTTCGAAGCAGGACCCTTTCCTGGCCAGCTCGCCTGGTTCAACGTCTATCTCAAGGTCGGCGAGGGGCTCTCGGCCTTCAACCTTGGGATCCTCGACGGCATCGCGAAAGCTATTCGCGGCATCAACGAGCCTTTTGTAATCGCGGGCGACTTCAACATGGAGCCCCACGAGCAGAACTGCTCGGGCCTCCTTACCCGAATTGGCGGCCAGGTGGTCATGCCCGACGAGGGCGCCATTCGACCTTCGGGCAAAGTGATCGAGTATTGCGTGGTTTCTCATGTGATAGCGGAGGCGGATGCGACGGTTAAGCGCGGCTGGGACATCTCTCCGCACTACCCCGTGGAGCTGAAGTTCAACGCTTGCTCGGTCGACAGGTATATGCAGGCGGCGCAGTCGGCCCAGAAGCTGCCGTATCTTCTGCCCCGGGCGTGCTGCTCGGAGGACCACTCTGCTATGGGGGCTACGACGTGTGCTGACCTCAGCTCGGCGAGCTCTGTGGATGATAAGTGGCGGTCCCTCATCGCCTGTGCGGAGTGGTACTTGCTGGGCGCCGTTGGGCTGGAGCACGACTACCGCAGTTATGCGGGCAGGGCTCAGCGGCCGGCCCTGACCTTCGCCAGGGTGCTGAAGCCCTCGCCGCCGCGGCTCCCGGTTTTCATGGCCACCGCGTCCTGGAACAGGAGCGTGGCCATCGCAATGAAGGATGCTGCTCGGATCGATCTTCCCCTCAAGCGGCTTCGCGCGCTCGACGCGTTAGCCAAGTTATGCCGATCTCAGCCCGACTTCTCGCGCGACGCCAGGCCGGAGACTGGGCAAGCGCGCGCTGCTCTTCTTGGCTATGCGCAGGCGGCTAACCACATGGACCTCTACCAGCTGCAGGCGGCGAGCTGCATCGCGGGGGTCATGGCCGACCGTCTCGTGCAGGGGGATGTCGGCAAGGCGAAGGCCTGCTTCGCCGACTGGGTTGCGGAGTATCACAACAAAGGCGCGGGGGCCCTACATTCCTGGACCCCCCCCCCAAGGCTGGCAGCCTCGGCCCAGAGGGGCCTGGCGAGGAGGGCCCCCGCGCGCTCTCTGATGCCGTCGCAGCCTCGGTGCAGGAGTGGTCAGGGTACTGGGGGGTTGGGGCGCCCAAGCCTACTGGCGACGCGATCGTGAAGGCAGAGCTCGCTTGGCCAGCTGATCTTGGCGAGCGACCCTCCCGGCCCACCGTCGCGGGGATTAGTGGGGAGGTGATCAGCGCCTTCGAGGATTCCAGCGGCTCCCCCCTCGACTCGCTGACGCCGCGCGAGCTCGGAGTTCTGGGCGACGAGGGGGTGGGGGCGCTGATCGACCTCATCGTGGCCATCGAGCTGGGGTGCGATTGGCCAGCCTCCATCACCGCGCTCGCGTTCACACCCGAGGCAGACGGAGGCCTTCGGCCGATAGCTCTCTTGGGGGCAGTTGTGCGCATCCACGGCAGGCTCCGCAGAGGGATCGCCAGGCAGTGGGGGATCGAGCACGACGGGCCGCATCGGTGGGCGAGCTCGGGCAAGAGCTGTGGCAGGGCGGTCTGGTAGCAACAAGCGCGAGCTGAGCGGGTGCAGATGATGGGCGCACTCCACTCGAATCAAGACGGCCCCAGCTTCTATCGCGATGGACTTGTGGAAGGCCTTCGAGCAGGTCATTCGCAGCAACTTGCTGCAGGCGTGCGTGGGTTGCGACTTTCCCCTCTGGCTTGCGAAGTTGCAGATTTCGCTCTACTCGCTCCCGCGCGTGGTCAGCCTTGGGAACTGCTGCTCTGACGAGCTGATGATGATGCAGACGGTGCTGGCGGGCGACGCGTTCGCCGCCGCATTCATGAAGGTGATGCTCCTCGAGCCGCTGGGCGCCATGCGGATCGCCTGCCCCGCGGTGCCCCCTGCGGTTGTCGTCGACGACGTGGTTCTGCAGCGCTGGGGCGGCGCCGAGCGCGTGGCCAAGGACCTCGCGCAGGCGGCAAAGATTGGTCAAGGGCCTTGCGAAGGTAAGGCTAAACATTGCGGTCCTGAAGTCCAGGGCGCCGGCGAGCAGCAAGGACCTTCGCTCCCAGCTCCAGGCGCTCCCGGGCAAAGCCGCGGGGGCGATTGGAGCCAGGCAGGTGCGCAACCTTGGCATAGACTTACCCGAGGGCAGCAGACGCGCCAGCAACATCAGGAGGCAGAGGGTCGCGCGCAATCGTGTTCGTCTCAATCGGGTTCGGCGGCTGCTCGGGCCTCGGCGCGGCAGGGCCGCGGCGGCGAAGGTCGCTTCCACGGGTATGGCGCCGAGCCTCGTCCACGGCGTGAGCTGCGCAGGGCTGAACCAGTCCGAGCTTCGGCAGGCGCGCGCGATCATGCGTCGCGCGATCGGGCCTGGGCCTCGGGGCAAGTCGCTCACGGAATGCCTGCTGATCGGCGGCTCCGTGACTATAGATCCTATCTTCACTGCTACTTTGGCCCCTTGCTTCACCTTGGCCAGGGCGATGTGGGGGAACTGGATACCTCTGAGCCAACTGCGGCCCGCGTTCGCATGGGCAGCGGGCGCCGTCAGCTCCTGGCCGCAGGTTCGTGGGCCGATGGGGGCGGCGGCGGTGACGCTCCGCAGGGTTGGCTACGATCCCAGGGCCCTCGACCAGATCACCAGGCCGAACGGCGACGTCATTAACCTGCTGGAGACCTCGCCCTGGCACTTCAAGCGGGTGCTCACGGCAGACGTGAAGACTTGGCAGCTTTAGCAAGTGGCCGAGACCACTCATGAGGACATTGCGCACGGTGCTTTCATTTTTCACATCAGGCGTTGGGTTTGCAACGGGAAGGGCAGCACTCGCTAGGCGAGGAAGTGGGGGCCGCTCAACAACGACCAGCGCGGCTACAAACGCTCAGTGGTGGTGAACGGCCAGTGGCCGAACGACAGGCGTTACATGGATGCGCCCAGGCTGGCGCGCTCGCCGTGCTGCCAATTGCACGCTGGCGAGCCTGGTGCTCTCTGGCATCGGCGCGCAGGCTGCGAGGACAGCTGGCCTTCCTTCGCTCTGCCTGCGGAGATTGCGAAGCTCGTCCCCTTCGGCAGCGGCGCGACGATCCGCGCGCTCGTGGAACGACTTCTGCTGCTGGAGCCTCTGCGCCAGCGGCGGCCGCCTGGCGACGACCTGCTGGCGCGCGCGCAGGTGATCAAAGGCTGCGACGGCTTCCCTTTCGCGAACGCTACGCTCTACTCGGACGGTGCGGTTTACGAGGCTGGGCTATCGCTGGATGCGTCGGCCAGCGGTATCGCCGAGCTGCCGTTCGGAGGGGCCGATTGGGATCCTGGCCCCAAGTTGGCGATCAAGGCGCTGGGGGCGCCGCTGCCAGGGCCGCTGCAGTCGATCGACAGCGCCGAGCTCCTCGGCCTGCTGGTGATCCTCAAGCGCAGCCTCCCGCCGACCACGGCTGCCTTCGACGCGTCGTGCGTCGCGAAGGGGCTTCTGGACAGGGGGCCTGCTGGCACTGCGAAGGCCACTGCTGCATGGGGTTGTGTCTGGAAGAGGGCGTGGCAGACCCTTGGCGACTTCGGCGGCATTGGCGACGGTGGCCTTGCCATTCTGAAGGTCAAGGCACATGCGACGGTGATGAATGTGCGCGATGGGGTTATCTTTGCCAAGGACCGCCGCGGCAACATGGAGGCCGACAGGTGCGCGAAGTTTGCGGCTGATGCGGTGCGGGCCCCAAGCGACCTCAGACAGGTGTGGCAGCGACGCGCGCTCGCGCTGGACGGGGTGGCCCCCTGGGTGGCAAGGGCTGGCAACGAAGCTGCCAACGTGGAGTTCGACGTGGATCTCGATTTTCACGAGCAGCGTGAGAGGCCGCAGCTGACCATCGCCAGGCACGATCCCATCGAGCTGACGGGCGGAGGTATTCACTGCAGGGTCTGCCTCAGGTCGGCGTTCGCTGCCCAGGGGGCCACGCGCCTGCTAGGCGACCCGTGCATTCCGAAGCCCTTCGCTGCCGACGCCAGCGGAGCACGCCGCGGGCCAGCGGCCTCGGCACCCCCTGCGGCTGGCGCGGTGGCAGTGGCGCTGGCGGCAGCCAGGCGCCTCGGGGCAGAGGCCAGCGGCGTGCAGGACGGCGCCCCTGCAGCTGCGCGCGGTAGGCAGACCGACCCCTCTGCCGCCGCGCAGGGCCCAGCTGCCGCCGCGCCCGACGGCGGCGAGCGGGCGGGCGGTGCTCAGGACGACCTCCCTGCCGCCGCGCAGGGCCCCCTGGGCGTCCAGACCGACAGTGGCGCCCGAGGCGGCACGCAGGCCGACCGCCCTGCGGCTGCAACCGCTGGCGAAAGGCAGGCTGACCACCGTGCCGCCGCTCGAAGGCCAGCGTCCGCCACGGCCGATGGCGACGAGAGGGGCAGCAGTAGGCAGGACGACCGCCTTGCCGCCGCCCACGGACCTGCGCCTGCCACAACCGACGGCGGCGCGAGGAAGAGCAGCGCGCGGGGCGACCTCCCTGCGGCTGCTCACGGCCTAGCGCCTGCCGCGACCGACGGCGAGCGTTGGGGCATCGGCAGCGAGATGCAGGTAGACTCCCCGGCGCCCGCGGGCTCCGGCAGCACCGAGGCGGCCAGCGACGGAGGCCACCAGCTGATCAGCCTGGGCGGGGCAGAAAATGCACCAGATGCAGAGCCTACGCCAAGGAGGTGAAAGGCAAACACCGCTCGCTGGGAAAGACCTGCGAGGTGGTGTCGGGCAATGCCTTGAGGATGCGAAACCTCAAGATCGAGAGCATCCGCCAAGGCCGCGACCCCAAGACGGGCAGGAAGCCAGGCGGAGCGTGAGGCTCGGCACTGCGGCGACGCTCGAGAGATATGCCTTTGCACTTTTCTCGCGGGCTGTTCAATAAGAATGGCTGCCGCCAGCCCGAGCCTCCAGAGCAGTCGGTTCTCGCAGCGAGCGCCGCGCAGGCGATGCCAGAAAAAAAGGCTCCTATCCGTAGTGTTTTTTGTTGTGCGCTTCTGTTCCCATAACTCGGGCCTCTCCTGGAGTACGAATCCTTCCCGGGAGGCCCCAGGAGGCTCCAGGAGGCTCGCTCCAGGAGGCCCCGTGAGGCCACGCGAGGCCCCAGGAGGCCTCAGGGGGCCACAGAAAGCCCCAAGGGGCCCCAGGAGGCCCCAAGAGGCCCCAGGAGGCCCCAGGCTCATGCGCAGAGGCGCGCTCGTATTACTGAGACTCATGCACGCTCCAACTCATTCGCAGTTAGATTCGCTCCCAGACAGTCAAAATGTAAGCCCGTGAATATTCGAAACTCTTGCGCCTAGACGCTCACGGCGGACAGGCCCATTCTAATGTATGTACATCTTGGGAGCTCCTTGCAGTGGGTAACGACGATGATATGGGTAATGCTGGTGCTGATCATGCTGATGATGATGGTGATGGTGATGATGTTGATGATGATGCTGATGAACATGATGAAGATGATGGTGATGACGATGAGGATGCTGATGGTGTTGATGGTGCTCGTGGTGGTGATGCTGATGATGCTGGTGCTGCTGGTGATGATGATGGTGATGGTGGTGGTGGTGATGATTGCGGAGCAAGCTCCGAGGATGTCTCGAACGAGGCGCAGGTTTCAGCACCTCCACGGGGGAGCCGCCAGGGGGTACTGCGGTCCTCTGTTCGCGCCAAATGGGTTGGAGTGTCTCGAGCGGGGTGCCTGTTTCGGTGCTGATCATCCTCCGCTTTCGGAGCAGATTTGGAGGATGTCTCGAGCGAGGCGCTGGCTGTCGCACTCCAGGGCGGCCAGATCTTGAGGATGTCTCGAACGGTTTGCTTTATGTTGCTGGCCAGACTCGTGGGCACGGATCTTCTTCAGGATGCCGCAGGAATCTCCAGCAGGCTCCTGGCGGCCCCAGGAGGTCCCAGGAGACATCATGATGCCACAGGAGGCCACAAGAGGCCCCAGGAGGCCCCAGGAGGCCTTCTCCTTCCCCCTGGCATCCGTCCTCTTTTCACTTGTTTCACGGGCTGCATCAATTACGCGCGGCAGGTAAGGAAGATATGCCTCCGAGGGGGTGCCCCGCAGCCCACCCGCGGGCCACCCGCGACCCACCCGACACCCACCCACCCGCATTGCTTTGACAAGAGAATCGGCGCCTGCGGCGGGCTCCGTGCATATGTTCGAAGAAGTAAGAACCACATAAACGTGAATTTTTGGCGCTCCGTCAAGATTTCTTGGATCCGCGCCTGGGCCCCCCCGCGGCGCCTCCGGCGCCGCCCCTGGCGCGCTCCGCCAGGGAGGGGGGGGGTCCAGCGCGAATCCAAGATTTCCGCGCGGAGCGCCAAAAGTTTATGTTTATGTGCTTCGATCTTCTTCTGCATATTGAATAAAACATCGGCGCATGTGGCGGGCTTCTTCAGAACCCCGCAGACAGCCGACGACCCCGCCGTCCCCTCGCTGTTATCCACAAGTGCGGGGGGCCAGGCATCTTCTGCAAAGCCCCCCTGAAGAAGCCGTCTCGGCAGGTCAGTCGTGCGTGCAACTACTGAGTTTGTCGTGGGTTCACTAGGGCAGGGCCAGGGACGGTGTGCCCAAGCAGGGCAAACTTGGTTTTCAAACTTCTCTCGCACTGCTCTCAGTGTACCTCTCACATGCGCGCATCTGGAGGCCTTGCAGCGTTCGGGGCGTTCTTAAAGTACATGTCACCGATGGTTTGTGGGGCTGTGCTGCTGTTCAATCGGACAGCTCACAGCGCCCGCGTGCCTACGATGATTTTCGTTCCGCGGCGACAGGTCTACGTGCATCCGAACAAGCCCAACTACTTTCACCTGAAGTGCCGCCTTGATGGGGAAGGCGTCTTTCGAGCGGGGCTAGGACGAGGATGTATCCGTTCCAGAGCGTTCCAGAAGGCTCCGAGAAGTCCGCGGCGCCTGATAAATCCTTCAGAACCGTGGGATCTCAGAGACTCCCGCTTTGAGTGGCCTCCGGCCAGTGCCGCCGATCCAGGGCGCTCGCGCCCCCCCTGGGGGGTGCCCTGGGGAGGGCCCTGGGGGTGTCGTCTTAGGGGGGCGTCCATGGAAGGGGTCCAGGGGAGGGGTCCCGGCCAGATCTGAGGATTCCCTGCGACCCTCTCTCACACGTTCGGGATGTGCAGATCAATAACGAAATGGGGTGGTGGGGAGTTTCGTATGCGCAGGGCACCTGCCCCCTCCCCCTTCCTCCCCGGCAGGACCACCCCAGACCCCCCCCCTCTCCAGCAGAGCTGAGCTGCAGTGCAGGCTCTTGTGCACTCGCACGCCGGATCGGCGGATTGATCCTCGCCTGACTTTGCCGTCGTCCCTGGCGTCGTCTGAGTCCTCGTGCACTGCGAGCGGCATGGTGCGCCCTCGAGGCCGGTCGGTGTCTTCAGGGGGGGGCAGGCGGAGGCGGACCAGGGCGGGCCCGGCGTTATGTCGGGCGTGTCCCCCTACAGGGGGATTTTCGACAAAAATCCCCCACAGGGGGATTTTCGACGAAAAATTAAAGATACCCCCAAAATACCCCAAAGAGGTTAAATAATATGCAAAAATAGTCCCCAGACTATTTTGGATTATTTTTGGACTATTTTGGGGTATTTTTTTACTTCTCGTCGAAACCCCCCCTGTAGGGGGACAGGCCCGACAAAAGCCTGGCGAGTGAGTGCGCCCGCCGTGTTCGGTTGGCGTCATCATGGGGCCCAGGCGCAGTTCGCTGCAGGGCACGAGGTTCAGGGCAGGAGGCAGGGGCAGGAGGGCTGGACGCGGAGAGAGGAAGCGAGCGGGGGCTAGCTTCTGGAGAGCATCTGGCCGAGAAGGGCATGTTTGAGGGGACGGATCGGGGACCAGATTGGGGGAATCGGTGGGGAAGGGGCTGGAAGAGCAGAGGCAAGGCCATCGACGTTTCTTTTAATTCTTCTTCTTCTTCTTCCTCCTCCTCCTCCTTATCGCCCGTCATCGAGTATAGTTCCGCGAGGCGAACCTCTGCGGGTCATCGGGCGGGTCCCGAAGTGGTGTGTGTGTGTGTGTGTGGATGTGTGGATGTGTGGATGTGTGTGTGTGTGTGTGTGTGTGTGTGAGTGGCGGGCGGGGCAAGCATGTACTCTCGCCCTGGGCCTCCCCCCTCTCCTACCCGTCCAGTTCCCTCCCCCCCCCTTTCCCTTTCTCTTCAGCGGTGGGGTAGCACATCGGGGACGGAGAAGGGCGGAAGGAGAAGGAGGACGAGGAGGCGGAGGCTGGAGGCCAGATGGAGGACGGAGGAGGACACCGGAGGTAGGAGGAAGAAGGAGGAGGAGAGGAGGAAAAGTAACAGGAGGAGGAGGAGGAGGAGAATAATGATGATATGATGATGATGCTGATGATGATGCTGCTAATGATGATGATGAACATGATGATGATGATGATGATGATGATGATGATGATGATGATGATGATGAACATGATGATGATGATGCTGATGATGATGAAGATGATGGACATGATGATCATGATGATGATGACGATGATGATGATGATGATGATGATGATGATGATGATGACGAGGCGAAGGACGAGGAGGAGGAGGAGGAGACAAATATTAATAATAATAATAATAAAAAAAAATAAGAATAATAATAATCATACTACTGATAATAATAAGAATCATACGAATACTATACTAATAAGAGTAATTCTAATAGTAATACTACTAATAAGAATAATAATAAAAAGAAACATAATAATATAAATAATAATAGCAATAGTAATAATAATATAACTAATAATAATACTAATAATAGATAAGAATCATAATAATACGAATAAGAATACTAATAATAACAGTAATAATTAGAAATATTATTAATAATACTAATACTAAGAATAAACTTACTAATAGTAATAGTAGTATTAATAATAATACTAATAACATTCATAATACTAATACCATTAATAATGGTATTAATATTATGTATAGTAATAGTACTACTAATAATAATATTACTAATAATAATAGTAAAAGTATTAATAATACAAATACTAATAATACTACTACTGCTAATACTCCATAGTAATAATCATAACAATAAGAATAAGAATAATACTACTACTACTACTACTAATAATAATATTATTAATAATAAAAATACTAATAATAATACTAATAATAATCATAATAATAATAATAATAACAATAATAATAATACTAACAAAAATAATGATAATACTTATAATAATAATAATAGTAATACTAATAGTAATAATAATAATAATAATATTATTAATGATAATAATAATAATAATGATGATGATGATGATGATGATGATGATGATGATGATGATGATGATGATGATGATGATGATGAATGATGATGCTAATAAGGAGGAGGAGGAGGAGGTGGAGGAGGAGGAGGAGGAGGAGGAGAGGGGGAGGGAGGGAAGAGAGGAGAGGAGGAGGAGGAGGAGTCCGAGTGGAGGAATGACTAGGGAGGGGGAGCCAGAGGGGGGCGCCCGCGGGCGCCGACGGACTGAGCCTCGCCGCACGGCCGGCGAGCCGATCCCCTTTTGGGTGGCAGACTATGGTCACCGAGCGCGTTCCACTGCTCGCAAAGCGCCTGCTTGTCAACGTCCGACAAAGAGGCCGGTCTTCCTCTACGTCGTGGGTCGTGCGTCCCCCCCCCCCCTTGGCGGATCCGGGCCAGCTGCGAGCAGCGGCTCTGCGAGCAGCGGAGTGCGCTCTTGCACATCGGGCGGGGCAGGTACGAGGTGTCCGGAGACTTCAGCTCCATGTGGAACCTCCGCCCGCCCGGAGCCTGCGTGGGCCTGCCGCCCCCACCGGGGGCATGCTCTGTTCCGCCCCCAGGGCGCGCTCCGCCCTCGGGGCTCATCCACAGCCGCTGGGGATCGATCTTCGAGGACCCCGGCGGGCGGCGGTCATGGATGTTTTCGGGCCGCCTGCGGCCAACATGTCACCGCGAAGGGTCTTTTGTTGTCGTCCCCCCCTGTTCACTCGGCGGTGGGCAGGACTGGTCGTAGAACCTTCTCCTCCTCCTCCTCCTCCTCCTCCTCCTCCTCCTCCTCCTCCTCCTCCTCCTCCCCCTCCTCCTCCTCTCCTCCTGCTCCTCCTGCCCCTCCTCCTCCTCCTCCTCCTCCTCCTCCTCCTCCTCCTCCTCCTCCTCCTCCTCCTCCTCCTCCTCCTCCTCCCCCCCTGCTCTTCCTCCTCCTCGTCCTCCTCCCACTGCGCCGCGGACAACAACGTTTAGTTACCCCGTATTGGCGGGACCCCAGTCCTTCAGTAAGGCCGCCGGAGAATAGTCAGTTTCCCCCTTTTTGGGGGGGGTTCGAAAGACCCTTCGCGGTTATCCATATCTCAGGAGCGAGACAAGGACGTAGATGTACATGAATCCGCGCTGGTTCCGAAAACTCACGCTGCGCGAACGTTCGTCATACGAGGCGGCCTCGTGGACTGGGGGGGCCGTGGCCATCCACGTGGCTGGGCGCGTATACGTCCTCCGTGGGCGCCGTGAGATCCACCGCCCGCTGGGGCTCCCAGGGCCTGGGCGTCGGTTGCAAAGGCGGTGCACGTGGACACCTCCCTCTCCTCCTCCTCCTCCTCCTCCTCCTCCTCCTCCTCTTCCTCCTCTCCTCCTCCTCCCCTCCTCCTCCTCCTCCTCCTCCTCCTCCCTCCTCCTCCTCCTCCTGCTCCTCCTCCTCCTGCTCCTTCTCCTCCTCCTCCTCCTCCTCCTCCTCCTCCTCACCTTCCTCCTCCCCCTCCCTCCTGCGGCGTCTGTGAGGGAGGGGGGTCGGGGGCGCACGCCCTCGGCGCCCCCGCAAGGGGGCTCTCCGGCTCGGGAGGGCGACCTCGGGGGTCTCGGAGCTCGCGCGCGCGCGCTGCGGAGGTCGCGCGCGCGCGCTGCGAAGAGGAGGAGGAGGAGGAGGAGGAGGAGGAGGAGGAGGAGGAGGAGGAGGAGGAGGAGGAGGAGGGAGGAGGAGGGAAGGGAGGAGAGGAGGAGGAGAGGAGGAGGAGGAGGAGGAGGAGGATCGATAGAGAGACAAGGGCCACGTCGTAAGTGGGGCGCGGGCGGGGGGCGCAGCGCTACTGTGCAAGGCCTTCCCAACAACCACGGGGCATGCAAGCGCATTCCACGCCACTGGCTAAGTTTCGTAGCGCAGGATGGCGGTTCGGACATGCCCAGGGGGGGCGGCGTCACGCGGCAGCGCCCGCGTGAGATAATTCGTGCTTTGGGTTCCGTGCCCGCTCGTGAGCGTCGTCGCCGCTATTGCGACGCCAACGACGACGACGACGCCGACGACGACGCCGACGCCGACGCCGACGCCGACGCCGACGCCGACGCTGACGCCGACGCCGACGCCGACGCCGACGCCGACGCCGACGCCGCAGCCGCCGCCGCCGCCGCCGCCGCCGCCGCCGCCGCCGCCGCCGCCGACGACGACGACGACGACGACGACGACGACGACGACGACGACGACGACGACGACGACGACGACGACGACGACGACGACGACGACGTACGTACTCCCTGCTGTCCCAGCGGCTGAATCTTAGGTGTTCAGGCTTTCCATCACTGCTATTTCTGCCTCGACATGCGCGCATTGATCCAGGGCCAGTGGTGTAGGCGAAGGGCCATTGGTGTAGGATAAGGGCCAGTGGTGTAGGAGAAGGGCGGCGAAGCAGTCAGTGGTGACGGGCCGCCGAAGCTCTCCAGGACCGAGCCGGGGTGGAACAGATCTGGGGATGGGAGGTGGAGGCGGAGGAGGAGGAACAAGATCAGACCTGACGCTCCAGGCGCTATCAGCGCCTCCGAAGGAAGCGCAAGAAAGAGAAGATGAGACAGAGGGAGGGGGGATGAGGGAGGATGAGGAGGCGGAGGAGGAGGAGGAGGAGGAGAATGAGGAGGAGAAGGAGGAGGAGGAGGAGGAGGGGGAGGAGGAGGAGGAGGAGGAGGAGGAGGAGGAGGAGTTGTAGGAGGAGGGGGAGGAGGAAGTGGAGGAGAAAGAGTTGGAAGAGGAGGAGGAGGAGAAGGGGGATGAGGAGGCGGAGTATTGTTTCCAGGGCACTCATCGGCTCCTATTCTTTAGGCTCATGGGATGGCGACTCCTTGGCATCAGTTCACCTGCATCTTGTCAGCCGTCCTTGCTGCCCATCGCGCTCCGCCGCCGTTGTTGTCCAAGGGGGAGGGGGGCGGACCACGATGAGGGAAGATGATGGAAGAGGAAGAGGAAGGACGAGTGACTACGTATGCAGACGTTGATAATGAGGAGTGCTAGGAGTGATGATGCACACTGAGTGTAGTTGTGACGACGCTAATGACGACGATGCTGCTGCTGATGATGCTGATGATGATGACCACGATGATGCTGATGATGCTGCTGATGGTGATCCTGATGCTGATGCTGGTGATGATGATGCCGCTGATGATGATGATGATGATGATGGTGGTGGTGGTGATGATGCTGCTCATGCTGCTGCTGATGATGCTGCTGCTGACAATGATGATGATGTTGATGCTGCTAATGGTGATGACGATGCTGGTGCTGATGATAGGTTTGATGACGATGATGACAATGATGATGCTTACTCCGCTGATGATGCTGATGCTGATGATGCTGATGATGCCGCTGACGACGATAATGGTGGTGCTGCTGGTGATGATGCCGATATGCTGATGGTGACGGTGCTGCTGATGATGATAATGATGATGATGATGATTATGATGATGATGATGCTGATGCTGATGCTGATGCTGATGCTGATGATGATGATGATGATGATGATGATGCTGATGATGATGATGATGATGATGATGCTGATGCTGACGATGCCGATGCTGCTGTTGCTGAAGATGCTGACGCTGACGATGATGCTGATGCTGCCGATGATGATGCCGCGGATTCTGACGACGATGATGGTGCTGATGATGCTGCTGATGATGGTGATGCTGCTGATGACGGTGGCGATGCTGAGGATGATGATGCTGCTACTGATGATGCTGAAGCTCATGGTGTTGATGCTGCTGCTGATGATTAGGACGATGACGATGACGATGACGGTGACGACTATCATACTGTTTAAACTGATGACGATGATGCTGATGATGATGATGATGATGATGTTGATGATGCTGATGATGATGCTGATGCTGATTATGAGGATGACGATGCCGATGGCGATGCTGATGCTGATGCTGATGCCGATGCTGAAGATGACGATAACGATGCCGATGATGTCGAGGATTATGCTGATGATGCTGATGCTGCTGATGCTGAGGTTGATGCTGATGCTTGTGGTGATGATGCCGTTGATGCCGAGACGGAGGTGGAGGAGGAGGGGGAGGCTGCTGCTGCTGCTGATGCCAATGCTGACGACGTCGACAACGAACGACGACGACGACGAACAACGACGACGACGACGACCACGAACGACGACAACGATGACAAGGATGCTGATGCTGATGATGATGCTGCTGATCATGATGCTGTTGATGATGCTGATGCTGATCATGTTGATACTGATGAGGCTGATGATGATGATGATGATGATGATGATGATGATGATGATGATGATGATGCTGATGCTGATGCTGATGCTGATGCTGATGATGCTGGTGAGGAGGAGTAGGAGGAGGGGGAGGACGATGATGCTGACCATGGCTATAACGATGCTGCGGAGGATGCTGCTGCTGCTGCTGCTGATGCTGATGATGATGATGATGATGATGATGATGATGATGATGATGATGATGAC